GGGGGAATGCTTCACAATACTTAAATAGATCCCAAGGGGAGAGTATGTGCCCAGTACTATGTTCCTAATTGGGCAATTTTGACCTAGTTTCTATGCGGCTCTTGGTGACCCAGGTCTGTGCTATAGACTACTGGGACGTTAGACTCCGCCCCTTTGAGGTGCGTAACATCCTTTATAGATTATACCAGAAGGGGTCTATGTGGAAGCACACTATAACTGAGCGTTACCTCGAACTCACCTGTAGTATATTTACAGAAATAATATACACCCTTGGTCTTGAGGCTGAAATGTCTTAGTGCTATAAGAAGCAGATGACTGCTGTCCCAATGTTATGTTTGAGGGAAACCCAGTTAACAATGACTGGTAGAGGTAACATTGTAATACATATTAGAACTTAATACTATTGGCACATTTGCCATTCACAACAATGGTAAGAGAGCTTAATTTCTTTTTTCTTTCCATTTATTATTTATCCACAAAACAGGTTGTTGTTTTGTTGTTGTTGTTTTTAAATCCCTTGTATCTTCATAATACCTTAAATACAGTGATATTGGCAAAAGAGGGGTAGGGTAAAGGCCTACATGTTAAAAATCCCCAGCATCAATTTTATTTTCCTTACCACGGTCTGCTCCATTTATCCTCTAAGCTACTTGCAGCACAAAGGGCTGCACCTGTGATCTGGACTTACCGTGAGCCTTTGACATATTCATGGATGAAGTCTGCATGGAATCTTGGGACCAAAGGGTCTTTCTCCCCATGCACAATCAAAGTGGGGCACTGAATAAGGGGCAGCAAATGTCGACAAATATTACCTGAAAAACAGCACGAGGAGTTTGCTTTAATGTAACCATTCTATGTGATAAAGAGAAAATAGAGCTAGAGGGCACATCATTGTCTTTCTGGACATCTGTGGATGGGTAAAATCAACCATCTGGATTAACAGGTGGCTGTGGCTTCTTCCAGGAGCCCTGAAGGCATCGTGGTCACATGTTGCGCTGCGATTCGAAAGGTTGGCAGTTCAAAACTACCAGTCACTCTGCAAGGGAAAGATGGGGCTTTCTGTTCCATAAACAGTTAAAGTCTCCGAAACTCAAAGGGCACCGCCTGCTCCCACAAAGCAGTCCTCACACTGAAGTTACAATCTGCACTTGGTAAATAAATACCCATCATGCTCCCATTACATTCCTAATGAATGATATGCCTTTAAGCAATTACAAAGACTTCACCTCCACTTATAACAACCCAACCAAGGCAAACATGGTAGCATACAAAGAATGTAGACTCTGTAGGTGGGTAACTTGAGCTCTGGTTCCTACCTGGCCATTTCTTGTTGGTTCTTTAGCTATATTGACCCTTGGCCTCCTCCTCCACCAAACAGGGTAACTGTTATTCACTGGGTTTGCCATGAGGTTGAATAGAAATGCTGAGGACTGGTGGTGTAGTGGTTATTCATTGGGCTGCTAATTACAAGGTCAGCAGTTTGAAACCACCAGCAGCTCCAAGGAAGAAAGATGGGGTGGGAGATAGTTAGGACATTCTAATCCCGTAAAGATGTACAGTCTCAGAAAATGTCCTATGGGGTTGCTATGAGTTGGCATTGAGTTTTTTGTTACCTAAGGCTGTGGCACTAGTAAGCCCTCCACAAAGTTAGTACCTTCACCTCCCTCCCTTCCTTCTTTCTCAGCCTGGAATTCTTGCCCCAGATGTACTATCCAGGCATCAGGTTACCACTTCTCTCAGTTGGGGTGGGGGTTACTGCTTGCTAAATGAGAAGATGGTCTCTTGATCAGGGAAAAACTGCCTTACATCTCTTTCCTGTCCTTGGGGCGATGTGTACTGTCCGTTGCATTATGATGAATTGCTGTGCACTCACTCTGTGTCAGGAACAAGTCAAATGATGCACACCTGTTAGACATTTATAGGAGTTACATATTCTAATAATTTGTTATGTACTGTTATTTGTAAATTAAGTACTTTTATAGTAATTGTGGTAATGATTCTGGTATAAGAATTAATGTCAAGTGGAGAACAAATGTTTTGAGAATGAAGGCAATGAATGTACAAATGTACTTTACACAATTGATGTATGTATGGATCATGATAAGAGTTGTATGAGCCCCTAATAAAATGATTTTTTAAAAAAAAGAATTAATGTCACAATAGAAAGTAAATATTTAGAAAACAATAATGGCAACAAATGTACAAATATACTTGATACAATTGTACAATATACTTGATACAATTGATGTATGGATTATTATCAGAGCTGTAAAATGATCTTTTAATAAAAATTTTAAAAAAAGAATTAATGTCAGACTAGTCCTAAAGTATTGGAGATTAAAGATATCCCAAATGTCCAACTTTTCCAAGATGCTACTCTGCTCCATTCCCCCCCTTGAATATATTCCCTCATGTTCCTGGGTTCTGCTAGTCACTGCACAGTCCCACAGAAATTCACAAAACATTAAGCAATGACTCATGGTGGTAGGTACTGTTCAGTCTCCAACTGGAAGGTCAGGCAGAGGTGAGCCAAATGCAGCGTCCGGAGCCTGAAGTCAAAAATGTCCCAAAGTCACAGCAGGCCTTCTTCCTTCTACCGAAGTGCAGTCAGGAAATATGGGTATGACCTTCCAAGTGAGCTAACGTGAGTGAGAGCCAGAACATACACTTCCCCCAAAGAATGGTGTCTTAAGTCACATCCTATACTAAGACAAAGTCAGAGGTGCCCCAAGGAAACAAAGGGTGTGGCTTGGTTCTTATCCTCTACTAAAGTCAGATCTTACTCCCACTCTACTCCTGTCTGTTAGTAGAGATTGCTCTCCAAAATGGGACTAAAGCCACAGGGGTATGAAGTTCAGAATTATCATATATCATATACGGAATTATGGTTAGAAGGGCAATATGAATTGAAGGGCCAAGATAAGCCAGTGATGGTAATAATAATAAACTTTTTGTGAAATATACTCTGTATTAGGCCAAAGCTTAACATATGCTATTTAATTTTCACAGCAACATTATGCAGTAGAAAGTTCTTTAAGCTTCAGGTTCACAGAAAAGGAAACCGGTTTTGTGAAGCTAAGTAATCTGCCCAATCTATTCTAATAGGAAGCAAGTGGCAAAGCCACTGCTCAAACCCAGTTTTGTTTGACTCCCAAGATGTTCTCTCAATCACACTGCTATACAGATCACGCATTTGTAGACACACAGAAGAAAACAACTGCTCTTGTTATATTAACTAGTACAGAGGGGAGGTCAGTAATTTACCAGCTGCTCTGCCAGAGAACGATGTGGCAGTCTGCTTCCATAAAGACTAGAAAACTGAAGGGCCAGCACTACATTGTTCTATAGGGTCATGATGAGTTGGAATCAATTTGACAACAAAGGAGATAGAGCTGTATAGATGCTTGACGTCATGACATTTTTTAATTGCTCTGAACTGCCTTTGAATTTCCCTACATTTTCACTGCTCCCTTCCATAAAGTATAAATGTTGACAGTTAAGTAATTTGCCTTTACTGGAGTACCCTCTTACACAGCACCTTCTGGAATTTCTGTTTCAGAATGGAGGGAAATGCCTGTAAGGGACCTGGTTCCATGGATAGATATTGCATTTGAGTGGGATCAATACAAAGCATATGTTTGCTAGTCTGAAATAAAAGCAAAAAGAATGACATATTCAAATACCCTTTGCATTGTGCAAGCTTTAACAAATGACTCATTCTGAAAGCCATTACTTAGAACAAATTGGTCCTTCAGTTACAGCCATTTTTAAAAATGAATGTACTTCAAGATTATATGCTTTTTAAAAAAAATCATGTTACTGGGACTCTTACAGCTCTTACAACATTCCATACATCAATTATATCAAGCATATTTGTTCAAAGGTCGCCATCATCATTTTCTAAACATTTACTTTCTATTTGAGCCCTTGACATCATTTCCCTTTTCGTCCTTCTCCCCCCTCCTACCCGTGACTCCTTGATAAATTATAAATTATGATTTTCATATCTTATACCAACCACTGTCTCCCTTCACCCAATTTTCTGTTGTTCATCCTGGGGGGGTGGAGGAAATGGGGAAAGAGAGGTTATAAGTCGATCATTGCGATTGGTTCCCCTTTCTTCCCCTTCTCCCTCCACCTTCCCCCTATCCTCCTGTTATCACTACTTCTATTTCTGTTACTGAGGGGTTTATCTGACCTGGATTCCGTGTGTCCTGAGCTCTTGTCTGTATCAGTGTACATGCTCCGGTCTAGATAGCATTGAAGAGTAGGTCTGGGGTCATGATAGTGGGGGTTGAGGAAGCCTCAAAGAACCAGAGAAATATTGTTTGTTTCATCAGTGTTATACTGCGCCCTGATTAACTCATTCCTTCATTGTGACCCTTCTGTGAGGAGAGATCCTATTTTCTACAGATGGGTTTTGGGTCTGTGCTCCGACTCCCCTCATTCTCAATGATACATATTTTTGTTTGTTTGGGGTCTTCTGGTACCTTTATCCTGATTCTGTTGACACCCCATGATTGCACAAGCTGATGTGTTTCTTCCATGTGGCTTGTTGCTTCTCTGCTAGATAGCTGCTTATTTAACTTCAAGCCTTTAAGGCCTCATATGCTGTATCTTTTGATAGCCAGACACTACCAGCTTTCTCCACCACATCTGCTTATGCACCCATTTTGTCTTTAGTTATCGTGTCAGGAGGGTGAGCATCACAGAATGGCAGGTTGTTAGAACAAAGTCTTGTTTCTTTGAGGGAGGCTTGAGCAGAGGCTCAAAGCCCATGCACTTCCTCAATGCATTGCCTTATAAATATATGTACATAGGCCAATACCTCTATTTTTATTAATATAGTTACATGAGTGCACACCTATGTTTATACCTCTATCCATAGCTTTGCTTCCTAGATCTTTCCACCATCACATTCCCCCTTCTTCTGCCTCTTAGTAATTCCTCTCAGCTAGAATGTTGTTGCTCTAACACCACTGGATCTCTATGTCCTCCTCATTGTTGCGTTTAATTCCCTAGTTGGCACCCTATCTATGGCTTTCTTTGCTCACTGCTCCTTTCCCCCACCTCCTCCTCCCCCTTAGTCCCTCCAGAACCGTTGGTCCCACTGCTTTTTCCTCGGGTTTGCTTCCCATGTCTATCTTATACAGGTAGGCAAAACAAAAAGAAAACAAAAGATTGAATAAAAGGAGAAAAAGGAGGGGAAAAACCTTGCAAAAAGATTTTCAAAAACATGAAAAAGCATACATAATTCCAGGTCTGTCCAATGGCCTTTATGACTATCTCCCCACCAGTTCTGTGTGTGTGTGTGTGTGTGTGGGGGGGTGTTTCCAGAAACTGCCCCTCCCAGACTGAAGTTTATTTTGGAGGCTCCTCAGTGTTTTGTGGCTTTGCTTTGCTCCTGTTGCTGATCTGTTATGGTCCCTTCTTGGTTCACTCCACTGTGGGAGTGGTCAGACTGAACTCACTCCCTGCCTGTGTGTCCCCAGTATTGTCCTCTGTCCTGGTATGCTCCAGCTAGGGGGCATCATGTCTGGAGCGGCTGTCGGCCTTACAGTCTGCTCTATGCCTTTGTACATCTATGCGGGGACATCATCCTCAGGACTTGGTGTGCCAGTATGGGGTCTAGTTCCTCACTCTCTTTTTATCCTTCTTGGTTTGTGTCCATATAGGCATAATAGGCCAGCCCATCTCCCCAACCTGTAGGTGTAGTGTTGTCCTCTGTAGCTCATACTACTAGGTGTGGGGATGGGGAGGAAGTGAGGAAGCAGAAGGAGAGGAGGAGGTGAAACTACCGCTTTTCCAAATA